TCTGGATTTCAATATAGAGAAATCATCAGAATCGAAATCACCACATATAACTTGTAGTGAAGGCAGTCCAGAATCTAGTCCAGTCCAGTTTATAAAGTTATTATTACAAGAATTAGAAGATAGTATTAAAACAGCTGTAGATGATCCAGTCCATGCTTCTCAACATCAACCTATTCATGGTAGTATCTTCTTTAACTCCTTCATAACGGGGAACCACGGTGACTAAGTGGATACAACGCTGGCTCTCTAGCCTGGAGGTTGTGTGTTCGACTCCTGTATTGGCCGAGAAAATTCATCATGATTTTTTGATGTAGTTTCCCCTTCCTTGTCAGTGATGCAAGACAAGAGCCTGACAAGGAGAGCTGTCTAGTCATTTGGATGGGATGAAAAACCGAGGCCTGGTGTACACATTGGAGTGCACGTAAAAGATCCTTTGACAGTTGGAATTTGATATAAGAGTAGGCCGTAGAGCCCCTCATCATTAATCTATACAAAATAATCTAAAGATTCCAATCTTAGTCTAGTCATTCGGATGGGATGAAAAACCAAGGTCCTGTGTTCACATTGGCGTGCATGTAAAAGATCCCTTGGCAGTTGGAATTCAATATAAGAATAGGGCATAGTGCCAATAAATTTCCCTCATAGCACACTGTATGGCGTATGTCCATCTTCATTATTTTAGTTTACAAGGAATTCAAACCGGCCATCAGACAATCAGACTTTAGTAGAAGAGAGAAATTCCTGTCAGTCTGATTAAAACATTGATCCTGTTTCCTTTCGTTTTTATAGTTTAAAATTTTGTTTTACTTGCCTTTACTACACTAGGATCTGGAAGAGTTGTTATCATTGACGTGTTTTGATTGGCGTGAGGAATTAGTTAATAAAATGGTCTGTTACGGCAAGCTTTAGGCATGTTTTACGCGGAACTGTGGATAATCCACTAGTAAAATCAATGCTGATTGGTTAATCAAATGTCTGACATCATAGGGTCAAAAGCTGTTCGTATGACCCCCGATGTAACTTTCCAGTCAACTGGTCAGATCTTCATGTAGTGTAGACCATCGAAAGTATAAATAAACGAAGCGAAATAGATCTGTATTTTAATCGGATTGTGTATATTTCATATATTTAGGAAAGGGGAGGGAGAACGGCAACACTTTAAAGAGTAGCAGGGGCGGGACAGGCTGATAGATTTGTGTAGCTGCTGAATCAAACAATGATGCCGGCAGAGAGAGCAAACATTAATAGATAAAGAGTCTTTTAACCCGAATATTATGACGATAAAAAAAACACCTTTTTTTTCAACCATGTCTGTTTTTGTACTGATGTTGTGTGGAGATTTTTAAATATCTTTGTATTTACAGGACTTGTCCAGGCTGTAACATTCTGTATGATGGATATGATGTCACATGATGATAATAATGGTCAATCATTGGATGATGTAGTAAGACTAGTGGTGACATCTTGTATTAGAATTATTGATATAATGTTGTTAGTTATGTCTGGAGGTAAAACAGCAGGTAAAGATAATTCTGTTTGTGAAATGAAATGGGGGTTGAACGTCCTACTTTTCTGCTTCATTAAGTTAGAGGGGGGTATGGGGGTGGTTGCCGCGGTGGCATTGTATCATTGAGCGTGGTTTCTATTTCCCGCTTGTACTTGACAAAGTATAGGGTCATCCGTCCAACCTCGTGAGTTTTCTCCAGGTTCTCTGGTAACCTCCCACTGTTAAAGACCCCTGTGCACAAGCGAATTAATGAAATAAATATTGAACCATATGCCAGCCCCAAAATGGCATAGTTTGTGTAAGTGGACCGAAAAAGCTGTACCAAAAAAAAGCAATTGTTTAATTGAAGCCAAGCTTCAAAACCGTCAGACTAGGAATGAGGGGGGTTGGATGGTCGAGTGGTTAGCATGTGCACACTGTATCATAAGAGCTGTCATTGAGTCAACTGGCGTGGTTTCGAATCACCGGTTGTACGTGACAAGGAGTAGGGTCGCCTGTCCAACCTCGTGGTTTTTCTCCGGGTCCTCCCACTGCTAAAGACCCTCACACGCAAGCAAATTATTGAAATAAAATTAAACCATATGTTAGTCCCGAAATGACCTAGTTTGTGTCGAGTGGACTTAAACCCCTTTTCTCTCTCTCTCTCAAACTAGGAATGAAGATTTCAATTCCTCAGGTTAAAAAAAAATGAACTACCTAGATATAAGCCCCATTGTGTACATGTTATGTTTAACATTATCTGTATCACTATGCTTTGACGAACACCCCACCCATCTGTAACTCAACCCTAGGGTATCACAGTGTTATAACATAGAGGGGGGTGGGGCTGACAAGTTAACTTGCGGTATTTCTACCCCAGGTCTGGGGACTTTCCCTAGGGCGTAGTAGAGTAACTGGTACCCTGTGTGTAGCCCCATCACAGATTATCAGGTAGTACATGGAAAATTAGTCCTCTCCCAGATTTATAAAGGGGCGGGAATCTTTACTTACAAAATAATGGTTGTAGCAAAATTTGATAACTGAATATTTATGTAAACTTAAAAATTATTATTTTTATCAAGTATGGTTATATCCTAGTGAATGATTTTTGAGTATGGACAGTTTTAATTTTGGTTTAAGATTCGATTTGGAAATTAAAGAAGAAATTTAGATATATAAAAAGTTATAAATTTTTATAAACTCATTCTTTAAAGGGGAGATAACTATATTTGCCAGATGGAGGCAGACCACCATTAATTTCCCCATTGACTTCAATGTTAATTCTGGCCACTTTGCCCACCCCCAACTTTTCCCCAAATTTTCGTTGGGCTGAATGCTTTTGACTACAGACAGAGGAACAAATGATCATGTCTTTGCACTAAAATTTATGTGAGGTTGACCACCAAAATTTTGAGATACACAAACTTGAAGAAGCATACTAAAAACATGTAACTAGTTGCCCTACATATCACTGTAGCCAACCTGATAACCCTGTTATTCTTCCACCTCAAAATCATGAATATTTACCAAAACCTGGCAGAAAACAGAAAATGTTAATTCAAACCCTCTTCGTCCATTCTAGACCAAAAAATCAACAAAGATGGGCATGCAAAAGGGGAGAAAAGAGACAGAGAGAGAATTGCTACCGAGATGGTGAAATTTAATGGTGGTCTGCCTCTTATACGTCAATGAAAAATGAAAATTGTGCATTTTGTCTTATTTAATGGAATGCATTGTTATAAGTGTAAATTATACTTTGTAAACAACCATTTATTTTACTAATGTTTAATTTTCTTTTTTTTTTAGAGACCTGTTTATCTTTTGCGGAACTTGGCTCGGCTATAGAAACTATGGTAACTGACAGTCAATCTGACAATACAGTTCTCTCCCCTGAATTTCAATGTCTGTTGTCATGGTGCTGGGTTAATCTCAAGGTATTTATTTATGTGAAATCAATTTCTTAAACAAAACACTTCCTTTGAGAACAGACAGGCCTTGTTTATACAAACATTGATATCGTCACATGGCCTTGCTTTCCTTCATTTGACTCTGGAGAAACTGATTTGTATTTTTGATTTAATCAGTGTTGACCAAAGGCCGAAACTTTACAACATTAAATACCTCTAACCAACATGGATGAAATGCCTGAAAAAATTTAGCGTTACAGACTTCAGTGCAAGACTGACCTTGAATCCCAAACAACCAATCAATTGTCTCGAGATAGGGGGTCCTCGCCTCCCCCTAAATGCTGTAAATGCATTTTTCTGCTATTCTAGCCCGAGATTTAAGTAACTTCAAAGTTTCTAATCGTTTTGCAACCAAAATCCCATTCTGTGCCGACCACAATTTCATGCATCCAATCAGACTGTTGCAATTGCATTTATAAATAATAATTGATGCCCGGAAAATTTCACACAAAGTAGAGTTGCGCCAGATAAAATGTTTTAATCCATAGTCAATTCAGTAAAAATTCGTGGTATTCAATTAAAAGAAAAGTAAAATTATTATAAGATTTCTGGCACTTTAATTTGCCAACAAGATGAAATAATGATTTTTGTTTTTACTTTACCCGTCTGCCCGAAAAGTCAGATTGCCTGCAAGTTAGCTGCTCCCTGGCTCGTACACCTATGCCTAAATGTATGACACTATCCTAGTCACGAACCTTTTCCGACGTGGTTTCCCCTTGTCAGTAGTGCAGGAAGGTAGACCTGACAAGAACAGCTGTCTAGTCATTTGGATGGGACAAAAAACCAAGGTCCTGTGCATACATTGGTGTGCACGTAAAAGATCCCTTGGCAGTTGGAATTCAATATAAAAGTAGGCCATAGTGCCGATGCCTGTGAAAGATTTCCCTCATAGCATACTGTATGGCGTATGCCCGTCTTCATTAGCCCAGTCGGAGCAGAAAAGAAGGACGTTAAACCCCACTTCATTTCATTTCATTTAGTCACGAACCTCCAGAAAACTCGGTAGGACTTTCATGCTGTGTATAAAACGTCAATAATCAATTAACCCGGTAACATTTTTTACGTTAATTATGTTTTTATATCTTTATAACATCCATAATACAAAGGTTATATACAGGAAACTACACACACAGCTGTGACATTAAAGTAGCTAAGTCTCTAACTCAATATCATCAAAAATCTCCGACATTGAAAACAAGAATTATTTGTCAATTCAAATCAACATTGGTCTTGTGATCTTACAGGGAGAAGATGGGCTTCTGATATCTAATATTCAAGACAAAATAAACATTTTACCATTGTTCATGAATCGTGTACCATAATGCGTTTCAGCGCCATTTGGAACAAGGGACTCAAAGAACAGGACTAGACATATTCCACAAGTCACGTCAAATAGTGACGCTATATTCTTATCTGGAGAGCATGCACAATAAATAACATTGGTGTAGACTGAAAAAACCAGAGGCTAAAGATTGCCATTCACATGAGACTTCTGCCGTATTTCGCCGAACATAACTGATTAGAAATTACAGTAAAAACAGAAACGATTGAATGTAAATCAGTTTATATACATTCATATTACATTATTATATGCCTTGCGACCCATTTTTGTCAATTTCTAGGTCCCAAATATTAGCGATTTAGCTCCTTTAAATATAACTTCCCTATCCCTTAGCTTGTGTTTTGTGGTGTTACACTCTTTTTTTTAAGTCTTCATGGTGACCTCTCTCAGTCTCTAAGCTGAAGAGACTAAAGGTACGTCTATCTTGCAAAATACCTACTTAACCCAGTTCTCGTTGTCACCCATTTGTTAAACATACATTATGCAAGAGCTAAATCTGCCAATTTGCAGGTCTTTCTTTAGGCCTGAAATGTTATCTAAATTATTCATTAGACATTTATTAACATGAAAAGACCATAATCAACTCTCGATGGCATCGCTAGCCTGCGATATTTACTGGATTAGAACCTGGTCTGCTGCTGCTGATTAAATCAAAAAATGGATAATCAAGACTATGTATTTTATTCTAATAACTTTAGTAATGATGATCGAGGCTACGCCCAAAATTCAATCGCTAAATTCTCAGTTCAGGCTGATCGATTTGACTGAAATTTTCAGTAAATTTCCTTTATTTTATCTAGTTTTTAACTATTATAGTGACAACTGCCAGCTCTTTATCTAGTCTTCCATAATGTATCTTTAACCACTTCAATATATTAAACAGAGCACCTATCATAGAACTAAAATAACCCCTAGTACATATAGATATTGCAGGTGACAATATAGGCTGTGTACAAAAATACTTAATAACAAATTTTACTATACATTACAATAACTTAAAATACACAGATCATTGCTACAAATTTTGGTCTTCGAAGGAATTATTAGTGAGCCGAAATTCGCTCATGTATCTGTTATCACTCGTCACTTCAGTCAGTTACATAGAGTGATAACTTGTGTTTTCCTTTTACGTTCGTCACTTCCGATGACTGACACGAATATTGTCCTTTAAAATAGCTAATAAATACAAGAAATATGGTGGACAGTTAGTGAATACATTTAAAGGTGTTCACCTAATGGATTGTAAAGGATGATGTCATAACACAGTGCAAAGGTGTACCATTATACATTTATATGTAGTTCACTATCTTACAAAAATTACTCAAAACTACAATTTAAACAGATTCACATGTAGAGAGAGAGAGAGAGAGAGAGAGAGAGAGAGAGATGGGGTTTAACCTCCACTCGACACAAACTAGGTCATTTTGGCACTAACATATGGTTTAATTTTATTTCAATAATTCGCTTGCGCGTAGGGGTCTTTAGCAGTGGGAGGAAACCGGAGAAGCCGGAGAAAACACACAAGGTTGGACAGGCGACCATTCACATGTAGAACTACACATTTATTTTCATTCATAGATCTAATCACACTTTAACCCAGGATTTGAAAATTTCCCATTCATACATGTCGATATAATTATACCATAAACAAGTATTTGAAAATTTTTGATTTAATAGACCTGTATCAATCAATCAATCAATCAACCAACCAGTCAACCAATGAATCGATCGATAAATCCAATCTTTATTCAGTATTTAAGGCCTCTGGCCCATAGTACATAGAAATACAGTATAATAAAAGATATCAACTATATAAAACATAATTATATTACAACAGATAACTAGTTATTATGCTGTTAGCCTTAAATATATATTCTGCTATATTATTTACAATGTTTATTTACAACCTTAGTTGTCATCTAAGGTCTTTACACATTTGACAAGATACAACGAAATGAATTTCATCTTTGATAGTCGTGTAGTCTAGATTATCCAGACAATATTTACATGTAGATCTATCTATATTATGCCATCTTCCAGTTTCTATTGCTAAGTTTTGGTTCCCACATCTAAATTTAGTTAATGCTATTCGATACCTATATGTATCCATTCTAAGAGAGCACTTAAAATTTTATGTTTTTCTAAATTTAATAAGTTTAGTGCGCAAGTATCCTTGTAGTTGAAGCTTAGATGACAAATGCCTCGATCTACTTAAAAAATCAGAATAAAAGGAACAAGCTCTCGCTACTAATTACTAAGATAATTCTGTTATCAGATGTTCATTAAAGCCAATCTGTTACTTTATTGGAAACCAACTGATTGGAATTGGTGTAGCACTCTAAATATGTCTTAAACGGATGAGCTTGCGAACATTGAATAGGAAGATGTATTTGTCTTTCAAGCTCAGTTTCCTCATCCAAAGACATATTTTTATTACTAGCAGAACATAGAAGCATACTTCTTAATTCTAATCCGATAGGAAGATCTATTTGCCTTTCAAGCTCAGTTTCCTCATTTAAAGACATGTTTGTAAGTGAAGTGCTTATTGATCCTAATCCTGAATCTTCAGAACTTAACAGAACTTTTGTATTGATGGTTTTTTTCGTCTCCTGAATTTTCGCTAATTCTGCCAAATGATGTCCTTGTTGTGCCAGTACAGGTTTCCCTTAAAAGATTAAATAATGATAAAAAGATTAATGGCAGAACAAGCTTAGTTCCAGAAATGAAAAATAAGATATTAAACCAGTAGCTTGAAATTTGGAACTAATAATATATACTATTCAAAAAAAGTAGGGGATATTTGATTTTGGGGGCATAATACTAAAATATGCAAATGACTACGAAAAAAGTCACTATAGAACCTAACAGAAGAAACATTTCCAGTTACATGTGACGCCCAAACGCACCAATAGCTACCGCATGGAATGCATGTGATGCTTGGGATCATCATGGGGGTCCAACCCAAGATTTGCACGACTCTGACTTTGAATGTTACAGTCATTGTGGCATTGAATTCCAGGGTGGAAACATCAGTTTAATTGTTTTAGTGACCAGAAAACAAATTTTGATATGCGTCGGCTTACCCAAAATGAAAGGTTACGTGCCCTTGGCATGCTACAGATCGGCACAACACAGGCGGTTGTGGCGCGGACGATGAATGTTTCTCAGTCTGTCATAAGCAGGCTATGGTCCAGATACCGTGATACACAATCTGTACAGGACAGACCACGCTCAGGTCGACTAAGGGCGACAACTCAAGCCCAGGATTGATTTATCCGTACCTTGGCCTTGAGAAATCGTGTCATCACAGCAAATCAGATCAGCGCTCGTCTTCAAACAGACACTGGTGTGAGAGTGAGTGGCCAGACGATTCGGAATCGACTGCATAGGGGTCACCTTCGCGCCCGACGTCCTCGCGTGATCCCTTGTTTGAGAGATCATCACATTCAGGCAAGACGTCGTTGGTGTAGGGATCATCAACACTGGGATAATCGACGCTGGAGCAATGTGATGTTTTCAGATGAGTCAAGGTTCACTGTTGATTTTTTGGACAGACGTAGGAGGGTGTGGCGTCGTCGAAACGAGCGCTTCCAAGACGTTAACGTCATCAGACATGATCGATTTGGGGGTGGTTCTGTTATGGTGTGGGGAGGCATCACTGTTGCTGGAAGAACGGCTTTACATGTTGTTGCAGGGCGTGTTACAGGCCAGTACTACCGGGACAACATCTTGGCAGTCCATGTTGTGCCGTTCGCCCGACGTCATGGCCGCCATTTCATCTTCCAGGATGACAACGCAAGATGTCACAGGGCCAGGATCGTTACAGGTTACCTCCAACAACAGAACATCACCACATTACCTTGGCCAGCACTGAGTCCCGACCTCTCCCCCATCGAGCATGTCTGGGACATGCTTGGACAGAGGTTACGTCAACGTCAACAACGTCCTGCCAATGTCCAAGAACTTGCTGCTGCGTTGCAACAGGAATGGGACAATCTGGACCAAAATGACCTTAGACGTCTCATTAGAAGTATGCCACGTCGGATCAATGCTTGTTTGGCAAACAGAGGAGGATTTACCCGTTACTGACTTGGTTGTGATGCTGTGGTAACTTTGCTGTTTGACCCCGGGTATCATTTTACCCTTATAATGGTCAGTCTGTGCCTTACTTAGTCTAACGATCATTTGGAATAAATCGATGTCTGTGAACTTCATTTCATTTTGTCATTTGTTTCTTCGTCAGTTTCATTAGGTGACTTTAATAACACTTAAAAATCAAATATCCCCTACTTTTTTTGAATAGTATATAAACATTTAAAGTGCACATAAATTGACCTGGAAAAATTTTCTGTACTTGTAGCCAGTGGTTACTATATGCACTTTATGGCAAGTTCACACCAATCTGATTAAAATTATTCGACATATTACCGTTTATGTATCAGACACCCGAAAACACTTTTTAATATTTCAATAACAGCCTTAATCTGATTGATTGGCTGGTGACGTCACAGGGCCCAACATACAATATACACTATTAGGATCTTATCGCTATCCATACATACCACCAGTTGACTAGTGTGTATTGACAGTTAATTAAAATTCTTACTGATCTAATCATTACCTGATTACAACCAATCTGGTTAAAACACAGATCCTATTTCGTTCGGTTTTTATAGTTCAAAATTTCGTTTTACTTGTCTTAACTACACGTGTTCTGAATAGTGTGAGGTATTAGCCAATGAAACGGTCTGTTACAGTGAGCTTTAGGCATGTTTTGCACGGAACTGTGGGTAAGCCCCTAGAAGCACTAATTCTGATTGGTTAATCAAATTGCTGACATCATAGGCTCACTTGCCGCTCGTATGGCCTCTGACGTGACATATCGCAGCAACCAGTCAGATCTTCATGTAGTGTAGGTCATCGAAAGTATAAAAAACGAAACGAAATATAGATCTGTATGTTAATCAGATTGGATTATAATTATCTACATGTAAGCTACACATCACTATAACTCAAAGCATTTTTAAGAGCTGACCTTTATCTTCTTGAATTCATATAGATTATATATTTGTGACTAGAGTGAGTTTTAAAATGGCGCATTATCTTTGTGTCGTTGAGAGTTGTGGGAATTCTAGCAAAGGAAAGGTGCACAGTTTACCGTCGGTTTTCTTCCGTAGAAAAGTAAAGACATTCTCGATTCTCGATCATAAACATATCTCATACAACCGCGGCAATGAAGATGAATCACCAACAAACTATATTACACCCAGCTATCAATATAGAATAGAAATAATTCCAAGTCGGTTATGTTGCCGGTGGTAGATTAAATGAGAAAGGTATGATGGTGGGAGGAGACGGTAGGGCAGCTACACCTCAACACAACGCTAATCTGTTCTATTTGATATATAGTTAGTCCAGGTAAGCCTTAATTTCGTATTTATCACGTTGCAAAGCCAAAAAAAGAATATTACAAAGTTTTGATCTTTGATCTGGCCGGCATTACAAAAGATAATTACCTAATCAGCGTTTTTAATCCTGCCAATACTCCTAACATTGAGGTGTTAATTAATTAATGATCCCATGTCTGTGCAACTTCTAATCGGTATTGATTAATGAGAGATATTAACGACACATATTCATATTCATTCAATATCAAATCTTTGGTTAAAAATTTGTAAAAATCATTTAAAATCACCAAAAATCATCTAATTTGTACTTGTGTCCAATTTAAAGCTGACCGTTCAGTTTTAATAATGAGTGTCCAATTTACAAGTGTTTAATTTCTCTATCACTGTTAAAAAGAAACAACCTAATTGATTATCAATGTATAAATGATTCATTTTTGAACAGTGGTCAGGAAATTAAATACTTGTTAATTTTAAATGTTAATCATAACATTAGAATTATTACTGTTTCTTCCAGGGTTGAAAGCAAAATTGATGGCACGCGAAAAAGAAAAATACTGGATTCTAAGTATAATGAACCATCTCAGAGACAAAGACGATTCGACGCAGTTGCTTCGAAATGAAACATTGTTGTCAATCACATCCAGAAGTACTACCACGAAACCATTTCGTTTCGTAAAAGCCGACAATTAATTATGTTCGCAGCGCCATTGACAACAATTTTTCACCTATCTTGTTATTTTTATAGAAAGCAAATTATTGTACAGGTTTACTGTTGGCTTACTCCAATTTATTCTGATCAAATGGACATGGAGAATATGGCTACAGCGCCTGTCTTTGTTGTGGTATTATAAAACATATCCTAAATTGAATCTTAAATTAAAATAAATTACAAAACAAATTTTCCGTAGTCAATTGTTTTATTTAATTAGGGGATTAAGGAATCAGTCAGGCTTTAATGAACACCCTGGCTGTAAATAGCTAATTAAGGAATAAACATTCCGAATATGCATTTGGTCACTGTGACGTCACTGGCGCCTGAGGGGATTACGAGTGTTTTCGATAATTGGCAAAGTCGTTTTTACGGGAGGTCTATATTTGTGACTTTGAGTGAAGTGCATATAGTAACCACTGGCAACAAGTACAGAAAATTTTGCCAGGTCATTTGATGTGCACTTTAATGCAACTTGTAACATGGACGAGAAATCTTCCTTTGTTCTTTCCGTTGAATAAGTAGATTGGGTGGAGCTTAACCGTGCAATAACTGGACATGTTCAATGTTATTGCACACTTGTGCTGGTTTACACTAGTTTTAGTAGAAATCATATAGAGAAGTGGGGTGGGTTTTCTGTGCAATAACAACAAGCATGTTGAGCAGTTGTCGTATTATATACTTAGGTATGAGGTTTGATTTTGAATGGCTCTGGCTTCAAATTGTTAATTAGTTTATTGTTACCCATTTGTATATAATCTTCTGTAACATGTTTGATAACGGCGAGAGTATCCTCATTTAAACGTTGCAGTTAATAAATCTAGTGAATGTTATCCATACTACCAATCTGGTTAAAACACAGATCCTATTTCGTGTCGTTTTTATAGTTCAAAATTTCGTTTTACTTGTCTTTACTACACTTGGATCTGGAAGAGTTGTTATTTAACTCGTGTTCTGAATGGTGTCAGGGATAAGCGAATGAAACGGTCTGTTACTGCGAGCTTTAGGTGTGTTTTTCACGGAACTGTGGGTAATCCACCAGTAACATCAATGCTGATTGGTTAATCAAATGTCTGACGTCATAGGGTCTTAAGTCGGTCTTTTGACTCCTTACTGACCTGTCGCTATAACTTGTCAGATCTTTATGTAGTGTAGGCCATCGAAAGTATAAACGAAACGAAACGAAATATAGATCTGTATGATAATCAGATTGCCATACTAGATGTGTGATCAGTTTTAGCTTTATAAACATTGTAATGTTTATGTAGTACGCTAAACTTACTTTTCTCGTCAAAAGCTTTAACTGCAGGTATCATCAATGTACAGACAATAGTTATTACACCCAGAACTATATAGTCAAAGATAACTCTCAGGTAGTTGGCCCCTGGAAAAAAGATGGGAAAGAGATTATAATTATGAATTTCTTCCGAAATTTCACGTATATAGTCGAATCAGTCACATTGTGCGCTAAAAAATATTTCCCGGTAAATCATAAAATCGGCTGTAAATCCTGCCAATCAGTAGTCACTAGGGGCGGAGCTTAGGAACCGATTTCACGCTGATTAATGGCCGGTGAGTTTTACCAGAGATAAACGTATCTCAAGGATCGAGATTGACTATTAATATCATCATACAAAACTCGCCAGCCATTTTGAAATCGGCAGCATTTCATTCTAACATATCCTGGCAATCAGTAGCCACTGGGGGCGGAGCTTAGGAACCAATTTCACGCTGATTAATGGCCGTCGAGTTTCACCAGAGATAAACGAAGGGTAAATGTATCTCTGGGATCGAGACTGATTAATAGTATTAATTAAAGAAACATTATGTAAGATTTAGATAAAGGGCATTTAGATAATGCAAGAATGAATATATTGAAAATTTAATTTAAATTTATACTTTATTGCGAGCGAAGATATTAGCCTTTGAAGGTTTGACAAGATGTGGCCATTATTTGTAACCACCGTACTGGTTGTTTGAAGATAAGCCTCGCTTCTCCATTTTTAAATTAAATCAAAATATAGCTGAACCATTTAAATTTTAATTTACTTGATATCAGAGATATCTCTGATACCATCGAGAGTTGATTATGGTCTTGTCATGTTAATAAATGTCTAATTAATAATTTAGATAACATTTCAGGCCTAAAGAAAGACCTCTAATGAGCAGATTTAGCTCTTGCATAATGTATGTTTACAACTAAATGTATCTACAAGAGTACGGAAACAGAAGTAATAATGACAATCACAAGCAACACTCTAAAGAAGCTAAATCACTAATATTTGGCACCTAGAAATTGACACAAATGGGTCGCAGTTTATTCCATAGAAAAGGTCTGACTAGGAAAATGCACATGTTCCAAGATAATGGTTGTAGATTTTAGATGAAGTTTTTCATATTTAAAGGAGCTAAATCGCTAATATTGAGGGCGTAGAAATTGACACAAATGGGTCGCAACGCATATAATAATGTAATATGAATGTATATAAACTTTTTACTTTAATTTCAAATCAGTTATATTTGGTCTTTCGGTGAAATTCACCAGAAGTCTCAATCGAATGACAATTTCTAGCATCTGGTTATTCCAGTCTACACCTTTAGTATTTATTGTGCATGCTTTCAGATAAGAATATGATGTCACCGTTTGACATGACTTGTGAAATATGTCTAGCCGCATTCTTCTCTTCGAGTCTCTTATTGCAAATGGCGCAGAAACGCATTATGGTACACGATTCGTGTACCAATAGTAAAATGTTTATTTTGTTATAAATATTGGATATCAGAAGCCCATCTTTTCTTGGAAAAATGGTTAGCACGTGCGCGTTATATCATAAGGTCTGTCACTGAGTCAACTGGTCTCTCTCTCTCCCTCTCTCCCTCCCTCTCTCTCTCTCTCTCCCTCTCTCTCGGACATGATTGTTTATAACTAAAATGACAAATATTATAAATTCACCTTTGGCGTCATTGTCCATGATTCCAGGTCCTGTGTCTCGTGACTGCAATGCTGAAAGAGATATTTTTATTGTTCAAATTATGGAATTGAATTCTTCACTGTAAATTCTGATATTTGTGTTACCGGTATATAAAAGATACATTATGTAAGATTTAGATAAAGAGCTAGCCATTCTTGAAACAATAGTTCGAAAATAGATAATGTAAAATAAATAATTTGAAAATTTCATTCAAATTACTCTATTGCGAGTGAAGATTGAAGGTTTGACAAGACGTGCAATAATTTCAACCACCGTACTGGTTGTTCGAACCTAAATCTTGCTCCAGCATTTTTAAATTAAATCCAAATATGGCTGAACCGTTCTAATCTATTTAATATTGCAGAAATCCGATGCCATCGAGAGTTGATTATGGCCTGGATACGTTAATTAATGTCTAATTAATAATTTACATAACATTTAATGCCTAAAGAAAGACCTGCAATAGGCAGATTTAGCTCTTGCATTATGCATGTTTAAGAGAATCGTACAAAACCAGAAATTACTGTAGTAGGTGAAGGAAAATCTTTCAATTAACAAATGTTAATCAGATACCTACCAGTATTCAGCTGATGATTCAGATATCTATTTTCTGAAAAAATAAGGAAGAAATAATGAATGGAAATAATCAAAATTTAAGACCAGCGGCTACCAGACAGGATACGCCCACATTTTCGAGAGATGGATAGAGAACAAGCTAAAAAGAAAGTGATTTTTCCCACAATCAAGGGTCACAATTCATTACGGTGTAAATGTGATATAATCAAACGGTTTATAAATCGGATAATAATTGTGACCTCCAGAGGGACCAAAACCTAAAATAGGCGATTTTGCGTACAATCAGGGGCCATAATTCAGGAAGTTAAGATCTGATATGCGCAAATATCGAAAGGAACCAAAATCTTTGGGTTATAAACATGCATTTCAAGTTTCATCAAAATCAGATTAAAATTGTGACCTCTACAGGGTCTACAACCTTGATATACCATATTTCTATACTATTCACGTACAAGCGGCGGCCATTTTGTCCGGCAGTTTTGGTCCAATTTACAGGAAATTCGAACTCCACCTTTATTATGGTGTTACGGTGATATATTCAAACGATTTTTAAAATCAGATAATAACTGGGACCTTCAGAGGGACCACAAGCTAAAAAAGACGATTTTTCGTATAATCAGGGGCCATAATTCAGGAAGTTACGATCCGATATGGCAAATATCGAAAGGAACCAAGATCTTTAGGTTATAAACATGCATTTCAAGTTTCATTAAAATCGAAATAAAATTTTGACCTCTACAAGGTCCACAACCTTGATATACAATATTTTTAGACTATTCACGTACAAACGGCGACCATTTTGTCTGGCAATTTTGGTCCGATTTTCAAGAAATTCGAACTCAACCTTCCTTATGGTGTAACGGGGATATAATCAAACGTTCTGTTAAATCTAATAATAATTGTGACCTCCAGAGGGACCACAAGCTAAAAAAGGCGATTTTTCGGACAATCAGGGGCCATAATTCAGGAAGTTACGTTCCGATTGGCGCAAATCTTTAAAGGAACCAAGATCTTTGGGTTATAAACATGCATGTCAAGTTTAATCAATATCGATTCAAAATTGTGATCTCTATAGGGTCCACAAGCTAAAAACGTGATTTTTCGTACAATCAGGGGCCATAATCCATGAAGTTTCGATCCGATACATGCCAATATCGAAAGCAGCTGAGATGTTTTGGGGATATACCTATATTTCAAGTTTCGTCAAAATCAGATAAGAATTGTGACCTGTAGAGAGTCCACAAACAATTGTGGACGAACGGACGGATGCCCAGACGGACAGGGGCAACGACAATATACGTCCACATGAAAATGTGGGCATATAAAAAAAGAGCTACATCTGTTTTGGTTAGGTGTTCACTTTAAAGCTGGCTATGATTATTGTTCCATTATCTCCAATTTGATTAAAATACAGATCATTTCGTTACACTTTCGATGGCCTACACTACATGAAGATCTGACAAATTGTACTCGAATGTTGTGACAGGGGTCGTATGAGCAACTTTTGACCCTATGACGTCAGACATTGATTAATCAATCAGCGTTGGCATTTCTAGTGGTTTACCCACAGTTACGTGCAGGGCACGCCAAGAATTCGCCGTAACAGACTGTTTCATTGGCTAATTACTCACATTAACTAGAACACCTGTTATATAACACCTCTTCTAGATCCAAAACGAAATTTTGAACTATAAAAACCGAAACGAAATAGGATCTGTGTTTTAATCAGATTGAATGAAGATGCCTATAAAAAATATGGAGGTTTTTCTATTGTAATGATTCCCCTATTCACTTTTAAGTATTAGTATTCAACTTACCTAAATCTTTCAAATCAAATTTTAAATTTAAATTGTAGATTACAAGCGCTATTATAACGAGAATCAGGGACATAATTCCTGTAAATACCAGTTTATTCTGAAAAAAATATAGAGACCAGCATTTAATTCACTGTTAGATTTGATTGAATGTTCAAGTTTAAAAAGTTGTGAATTTTATTGACAAGTTCACATCCACTTCCGGTCATGAAATAATGCTCGAAAGCTGAATCTCTCCTCCGTTAATGCTTTTGGAATGTTTCAAAGAATGTCTTTGTCAAGTTCCATCCAGCTGCATTCGTAAACTGCCAAGAAATTAAACTTCAAATGAACTGACAACCAATCTGGTTAAAACACAGATCCTATTTCGTTTTGTTGCTATAGTTCAAAATTTCGTTTTACTTGTCCTTACTACACTGGGATCTGGAAGAGTTGTTATTTAACTCGTGTTCTGAATGGTGTCAGGGATAAGCCAATCAAATGGTCTGTCGAATCAAGTGTTTGACCTTTTTTGCCCGGAACTGTGGGTAATCCACTAGTAACATCAATGCTGATTGGTTAATCAAATGTCTGATGTCATAGGTCAAAAGTTGGTCTTTTGACCCCTGACGTGTGACCTATTGCTATAACTTGTCAGATCTTCATGTAGTGTAGGCCATCGAAAGTATAAAAAAACGAAACGAAATATAGATCTGTACTTTAATCAGATTGACTGACAACAAGAGAGAAAAGGATAAACATTCTTCTTTATCTGTATTAGTGGCCGAATGGTTAGCGCATGCGCGCTGTATCATAAGGTTTGTCATTGAATCATGTGGTGTGGTTTCGATTCTCTGGTTGTACGTGACAAGGAGTAGGGTCGCCTGTCCAACCTCGTGGGTTTTCTCCGGGTCCTCCATTTTCCTCCGGTTTCCTCCCACTGCTGAAGACCCCTACACCCAAGCGAATTATTGAAATAAAATTGAACCTTGTTAGTCCGGAAATGACCAAGTTTGTGTCGAGTGGACGTTAAACCCCATCTCTCTCTCTCTCTCACTCACTCTCTCTCTCTCTTTCTCCCTATTATTGAATAAGACAATAAAATGTTTGGATTTAAAAAATATATTTACCTGTGTTACGAAAGACATTTAGGTTTTTCTAAAACAAAAAGAAAAGAAAAAAGGGAAAGTTATTTAGCGTCTTACAAAAGATGATTTACAAAGTTACATGAAAAAAATGACAGCTACTCAGATCTTCGGGGAATCACGTGGCTAAGTGGGTAAGACGCTGGCTCGCTAGCCTGGAGGTCTGGTATTCGATCCCTGCATTGGCCGAGAAAGTTCATTGGGATTTTCCGGCGTGGTTTCCCCTTGTCAGTGATGCAGGATGGAGGGCCTGACAAGGACAGCTGTCTAGTCGTTCGGTTGGGACGAAAAACCGAGGTCATGTGTACACATTGGCGTTCACGTAAAAGATCCCTTGGCAGTTGGAATTCGATATAAGAGTAGGCTGTAACGCCGCTGCCCGGGCAAAATTTCCCTCATAGCACACTGTATGGCGTATGCCCGTCTTCATTAGCTCAGGTTAGGAGCAGAACAGTAGGACATTAAACCCCATTTCATTTCATTTTTCATTTCATTTCAACTTTTAAACAATTTCTAGACATTATGTGTAGGATAAAGTATGGGACTGAGGTTATGGTGGGGAAAGAAAGACTGAAGAAAATAACCCAAGGGTTTTTTTCTTCAGTCTTTCTTCCCCAGCATAACCGAAGTCGAGGACTTTATCTTGCTTATAAATCGTCTATAATTACATGTACGTAAAATGAGAATATCCTAGAATTCCCGTAAGAAAAACCTTATATCATGTTTTCTTATGGAAAAAAAAAACCCTACCCTGGAAGAATAACCCGTTACATGTTTACAGAAAAACCTTCAGAAGAATAACCCCAAGTTCCTCTCGAAATATATTCTGAAGACAAGTTATTCCAGGCATAGAATATACCCCAAAGATCAAAGAGATTTACCGTTATAGGTTTATAATGGATGAGATAATCTGATTAATATACAGATCTATGTTTCGTTTCGGTTTTGTTATACTTTCAATGGCCTACACTACATGAAGATCTGACCAGTTGTAGTGGAAGGTCGCATCAGGTGTCATACGAGCAACATTTGACCCTATGACGTTAGACATTGATATATCAATCAGCGTTGATGTTTCTAGTGGATTACCCACAGTTCTGTGCACAGCACGCTTAGAACTTGCTGTAACAGACCGTTTGATTGGCTAATCCCTCACATCAACCAGAACACAGCTTATAACAGAGCAGTTAATTCCAATGGGAGAATAAGATAAAGAGTTGACAGTTAAAGAATAGATAACGTAAATAGAATATGTTGAACCGAGATATTAGCTTTTGAATTTTAGGCCTAGCCTCGATCATCATTACTCAAGTCGGTACGATAAAAAACAAAGTCTAGATAATCCATTTTTATGTTCAATTATTTTTCAAAAAATGAATTCAAATCCGCTAAATATCGCAGGCTAGCAATGGCATCGAGAGTTTATTATGGTCTGGATAAGCTAATTAATGTCTAATTAATAATTTAGATAACATTTCAGGCCCCAAAAAAGACCAGCAATAGGCAGATTTAGCTCTTGTATAATGTATGTTTAAGTCTAATTTCATCTATTTATTTTGGGATTGAGAAAGGGGACATCAGCCCTTGTCACCATTGACTTTTTCTAAGGACATAAAATTTTAAATGTAGACTGATGCCAACTTAACAAAACAAGTGCGACATATCAAATCTGATAATTTTTATAAGAGAAGACAGATCATATCAATTTTCAGGCCTCTAGGCTACCTGTCATTATGAAAACCTTGTTAACGTGTAAGAGACTACAGTTTTTAACAGCTTTTGTTCAAATTTGGTACGAAATGAAATGAGATTTAACGTCCTACTGTTCTGCTCCGAACTGGGCTAATGAAGATGGGAATGCACCATACAGTGTGCTATGAGCGAAATTTTGCCCAGACAGTGGCACTACGGCCTACTCTTATATCAAATTCCAACTGTCAAGGGATCTTTTACGTGGACAACCAATGTGTACACAGGGGAACTCGGTTTTTTGTCCCATCCGATAAACTAGACAGCTGTCATTCTCAGGCCCTCCGTTCTGCAGCACTGACAAGGGAGAACCACGCTGGAAAATCTTGATGAACTTCGTCGGCCAATGCAGGGATCGAACACCCGACCTTCAGCCTAGGGAGCCAGCGTCTTAGCCACCGTGACCCCAAAATTTGGTACGAAGCAGTAGGACTGTGAGAAGATTATCCCTATCCTTGTTCATTTTCAGGACTCTATAATTTTCGGTTTCAGAAAAGCTTGTGAACATGATACAGATTATCATTTCAGATATGAACCAGTTGTGTGGGCATATTTCCATGTTTTGCATGGCTATCTTATTTTTACCGAAATCAAAGATTTCACACTGTGTTTTCTTGTGCTATTTTCTTGACAAAAGGAAAAAAAAATAATTCAGCAGATTATGATTTCTAATTTGATTCCCAAAATGTTTGTGTAATTGTATTAAATCTCCATTTGCAATGAAACTAATATCAGGTTGTTTACATTATGACAAAAATGGCTGCCAAAAAATTTTGATCCTGTATTCAATAAAAGTGTTTATAACAAAAGATCTTTCTGTAAAGAAAATGTTAAATGTTTATTTAATGGATGATATAAAATAAATGAACATACGTCTCTCACTGTGATATTTTAAAGCACAAAATGGCAACTTTCTTCAAATCTCGGGAGAATCTGACTATATGTCGTCTCTAACTTGTGATATTTTTCTTAAAACAAAATGGCAACTCTCGTCAAAATCTCGGGGGAAAATTACGTGACTTGTGTTTTTTTTCCTCTATATTTAGAATATTAGGTGAATTAGTCCATCATTTTAAATCTTGTCTCCTCACTTTGTTGGCCGACCTACTTATGTTATCTTATGTCAAGACTGCATATTTCGCTGAACATAACTGATGTGAAATTAGAGTAAAAACTGGGTCTCAAAACTCCTTCCAAGCTTATCTTTAAAGCGAGAATTTAATATTTTCTAAGAAAGTCAAAACATAATTATTTACATTCATATTACATTATTATATACGTTGCGACCCATTTGTGTCAATCTGTAGGTCCCAAATATTATCGATTTAGCTCCTTTAACCTATTAGACAGATTTATTGAAGCGTGACTATGAATTATAAAGTGAATCTTTGTGTAGGGCTATTGACAGATAAGTCGGGGAGGGTAATCTAATATAGTCCAAACAACCAATTTTGGCTGTCAATGCTATTTTCTTCTGCCTCATCTCAGAGGCTGAGTATATTATGCATGTTCATATTTTTTATTGCTTACTTAAAGCGATAATTTCATATTTTTAAGTTATATTTTTAAAATGTATTTAAATAAAGCCTTGAAATAGATGGTATCTATAAACAGTCCTACCTTGTTAAAGAATAATCCTATAATTCACTATTGCCAGTTGAGAAATTGGCAAAAATATCATTTCAACTTCAAATTCAAACGTTTGAAGATAGCTATTCCATGGGGGGGGGATAGAAAAACAAGGGAGGTAATTGTGTTATTATTTCAGGGGTAAATGATTTTTAAGTGGGAGAATAATACCTATGATCGTATAATAGTGAGTTAAAAACCTATTGAGCAAAAGACATAGAAATAATTATGTTTTGACTTTCTTAGAAAATATTAAATTCTCGCTTTAAAGATAAGCTTGGAAGGAGTTTTGAGACCCAGTCTTCAATCCCAATTCAAAATTAGTTAAAGGGCCAATCCCGATAATATTTTGGAGAAAAAAACTGCTTAATAGTTAAAAACTAGATAATGTAAAGGGAATTTACTGAAAATTTCCTCCTAACCTTGATCATCATTATTAGTTAAAATAAATTAAAGGGCCAATCCCGACAATATTTTGGAGAAAAAAACTGCTTAATTTTTATGTTAAAATCCTCTACCCTAGGGCCGAGCAACTAACTCAATATATGTGATACCTTTTAACAGCACATGGGTCATTCACTGTATAGAGCTCTAAAGGAACGGGAATCGATTATCAGGCCACCCAACGAAAAAATTGACCTGAAATCTTAAAAGGGTTACGTGTCTGAATAAGCAGTTTTGACGTTCACGTCCGAACGACTGAATATTTTGAGCTGAAATTTTAAGACAGGGTAAATACACCATTTCTCTATATTTTGCTGTTTAAATTTCATATGTACTTGGAATTTTATTTTTGAGACTGTTCAAATCGGGATATTCCCTTTAAATTAGTTTATGAAATGAAATGAAATGGGGTTTAACTTCCTACTGTTCTGCTTCTAACCTGGGCTAATGAAGACGGGCATACGCTATACAGTGTGCTATGAGGGAAATTTTGCCCGGGCAGCGGCGCTACGGCCTACTCTTATATCGAATTCCAACTGCCATGGAATTTTTTATGTGCACGCCAATGTGTACACGGGACCTCGGTTTTTCGTCCCAGCTGTCCTTGTCAGGCCCTCCGTCCTGCATCACTGACAAGAGAAAACCACGCCGGAAAATCTGGATTAACTTTCTCGGCCAATGCAGGGATCGAACACCCGACCTCCAGGCTAGCGAGCCAGCGTCTTACCCACTTAGCCACGTGATCCCCAAATTAGTTTATAATTCACACTATCAATTACAGGTACTTAAAGGCTCAATACCACTCTTGTTGTAACTGAATAATATGTCTCAATCTTTATTCTGGTCAAAGAATTGTACTATTTTACAATATCCCAATTAATTCATCTTAACACACCTTATTTAAAAAATTGGAAAAATTCAACTAAATGATTTGAAAAGCCTGACGTAAAGCTTTCCAAATGTGACTTGGATTTATCTTATTTCGAGACTGCATAACAATCACTGTTAATGTGTTTATAAATATAACTGGATCCTAATTTAATCTATTAAACAGATTTATTGATGCATGACTTGCAATTTATATCATTTTAGTTTAATCTATTAAATGCCACCTGATTTTTTAAGGAGTCTTGCAGTGTTTTAAACTTTTGGTTTGCCTCAAGTATTTATATATAAAATTTTACACGTTTATGAAGAGGGGATCTTTGTGTAGGGCTATTGTCGGATAAATGAAATGAAATGAAATGGGGTTTAACGTCCTACTGTTCTGGGATTTTCCGGCGTGGTTTCCTCTTGTCAGTGATGCAGGATGGAGGGCCTGACAAGGACAGCTGTCTAGCGTTGTGGTAGGAAGAAAAACCGAGGTCCCGTGTACACATTGGCGTGCACGTAAAAGATCCTGTGGCAGTTGGAATTCGATATAAGAGTAGGCCGTAGCGCCGCTGCCCGGGCAAAATTTCCCTCATAGCACACTGTATGGCGTATGCCTGTCTTCATTAGCCCAGGTTAGGAGCAGAACAGACCAGAACAGTAGGACGTTAAACCCCATTTCATTTCATTCTTCATTTCATTTCAACTTTTAAACAATTTCTAGACATTATGTGTAGGATAAATTATGGGACTGAGGTTATGGTGGGGAAAGAAAGACTGAAGAAAATAACCCAAGGGTTTTTTTCTTCAGTCTTTCTTCCCCAGCATAACCGAAGTCGAGGACTTTATCTTGCTTATAAATCGTCTATAATTACATGTACGTAAAATGAGAATATCCTAGAATTCCCGTAAGAAAAACCTTATATCATGTTTTCTTATGGAAAAAAAAACCCTACCCTGGAAGAATAACCCGTTACATGTTTACAGAAAAACCTTCAGAAGAATAACCCCAAGTTCCTCTCGAAATATATTCTGAAGGCAAGTTATTCCAGGCATAGAATATACCCCAAAGATCAAAGAGATTTACCGTTATAGGTTTATAATGGATGAGATAATCTGATTAATATACAGATCTATGTTTCGTTTTGTTTTTTTATACTTTTGATGGCCTACACTACAACCAGTTGTAGTGGAAGGTCGCATCAGGTGTCATACGAGCAACATTTGACCCTATGACGTTAGACATTGATATATCAATCAGCGTTGATGTTTCTAGTGGATTACCCACAGTTCCGTGCACAGCACGCTTAGAACTTGCTGTAACAGACCGTTTCATTGGCTAATCCCTCACATCAACCAGAACACAGCTTATAACAGAGCAGTTAATTCCAATGGGAGAATTGGATAAAGAGTTGACAGTTAAAGAATAGATAACGTAAATAGAATATGTTGAACCAAGATATTAGCTTTTGAATTTTAGGCCTAGCCTCGATCATCATTACTCAAGTCGGTACGATAAAAAACAAAGTCTAGATAATCCATTTTTATGTTCAATTATTTTTCAAAAAATGAATTCAAATCCGCTAAATATCGCAGGCTAGCAATGGCATCGAGAGTTTATTATGGTCTGGATAAGCTAATTAATGTCTAATTAATAATTTAGATAACATTTCAGGCCCCAAAAAAGACCAGCAATAGGCAGATTTAGCTCTTGTATAATGTATGTTTAAGTCTAATTTCATCTATTTATTTTGGGATTGAGAAAGGGGACATCAGCCCTTATCACCATTGACTTTTTCTAAGGACATAAAATTTTAAATGTAGACTGATGCCAACTTAACAAAACAAGTGCGACATATCAAATCTGATAATTTTTATAAGAGAAGACAGATCATATCAATTTTCAGGCCTCTAGGCTACCTGTCATTATGAAAACCTTGTTAACGTGTAAGAGACTACAGTTTTTAACAGCTTTTGTTCAAATTTGGTACGAAATGAAATGAGATTTAACGTCCTACTGTTCTGCTCCGAACTGGGCTAATGAAGATGGGAATGCACCATACAGTGTGCTATGAGCGAAATTTTGCCCGGACAGTGGCACTACGGCCTACTCTTATATCAAATTCCAACTGTCAAGGGATCTTTTACGTGGACAACCAATGTGTACACAGGGGACCTCGGTTTTTTGTCCCATCCGATAAACTAGACAGCTGTCATTCTCAGGCCCTCTGTCCTGCAGCACTGACAAGGGAGAACCACGCTGGAAAATCTTGATGAACTGCGTCGGCCAATGCAGGAATCGAACACCCGACCTTCAGGCTAGGGAGCCAGCGTCTTAGCCACCGTGACCCCAAAATTTGGTACGAAGCAGTAGGACTGTGAGAAGATTATCCCTATCCTTGTTCATTTTCAGGACTCTATAATTTTCGGTTTCAGAAAAGCTTGTGAACATGATACAGATTATCATTTCAGATATGAACCAGTTGTGTGGGCATATTTCCATGTTTTGCATGGCTATCTTATTTTTACCCAAATCAAAGATTTCACACTGTGTTTTCTTGTGCTATTTTCTTGACAAAAGGAAAAAAAAATAATTCAGCAGATTATGATTTCTAATTTGATTCCCAAAATGTTTGTGTAATTGTATTAAATCTCCATTTGCAATGAAACTAATATCAGGTTGTTTACATTATGACAAAAATGGCTGCCAAAAAATTTTGATCCTGTATTCAATAAAAGTGTTAATAACAAAAGATCTTTCTGTAAAGAAAATGTTAAATGTTTATTTAATGGATGATATAAAATAAATGAACATACGTCTCTCACTGTGATATTTTAAAGCACAAAATGGCAACTTTCTTCAAATCTCGGGAGAATCTGACTATATCTCGTCTCTAACTTGTGATATTTTTTCTTAAAACAAAATGGCAACTCTCGTCAAAATCTCGGGGGAAAATTACGTGACTTGTGTTTTTTTTCCTCCATATTTAGACTATTAGGTGAATTAGTCCATCATTTTAAATCTTGTCTCCTCACTTTGTTGGCCGACGTACTTATGTTATCTTATGTCAAGACTGCATATTTCGCTGAACATAACTGATGTGAAATTAGAGTAAAAACTCTGTAGTCTGTGCAATTTTAAACTTTTGCCTTGCCTCAAGTATTTATATATAGAATATAACACATGTTTATCACATGTTTATGAATTATAAAGTGAATAAGTCGGGGAGGGTAATCTAATATAGTCCAAACAACCAATTTTGGCTGTCAATGCTATTTTCTTCTGCCTCATCTCAGAGGCTGAGTATATTATGCATGTTCATATTTTTTTATTGCTTACTTAAAGCGATAATTTCATATTTTTAAGTTATATTTTTAAAATGTATTTAAATAAAGCCTTGAAATAGATGGTATCTATAAACAGTCCTACCTTGTTAAAGAATAATCCTATAATTCACTATTGCCAGTTGAGAAATTGGCAAAAATATCATTTTCAACTTCAAATTCAAACGTTTGAAGATAGCTATTCCATGGGGGGGGGGGGTAGAAAAACAAGGGAGGTAATTGTGTTATTATTTCAGGGGTAAATGATTTTTAAGTGGGAGAATAATACCTATGATCGTATAATAGTGAGTTAAAAACCTATTGAGCAAAAGACATAGAAATAATTATGTTTTGACTTTCTTAGAAAATATTAAATTCTCGCTTTAAAGATAAGCTTGGAAGGAGTTTTGAGACCCAGTCTTCAATCCCAATTCAAAATTAGTTAAAGGGCCAATCCCGATAATATTTTGGAGAAAAAAACTGCTTAATAGTTAAAAACTAGATAATGTAAAGGGAATTTACTGAAAATTTCCTCCTAACCTTGATCATCATTATTAGTTAAAATAAATTAAAGGGCCAATCCCGACAATATTTTGGAGAAAAAAACTGCTTAATTTTTATGTTAAAATCCTCTACCCTAGGGCCGAGCAACTAACTCAATATATGTGATACCTTTTAACAGCACATGGGTCATTCACTGTATAGAGCTCTAAAGGAACGGGAATCGATTATCAGGCCACCCAACGAAAAAATTGACCTGAAATCTTAAAAGGGTTACGTGTCTGAATAAGCAGTTTTGACGTTCACGTCCGAACGACTGAATATTTTGAGCTGAAATTTTAAGACAGGGTAAATACACCATTTCTCTATATTTTGCTGTTTAAATTTCATATGTACTTGGAATTTTATTTTTGAGACTGTTCAAATCGGGATATTCCCTTTAAATTAGTTTATGAAATGAAATGAAATGGGGTTTAACTTCCTACTGTTCTGCTTCTAACCTGGGCTAATGAAGACGGGCATACGCTATACAGTGTGCTATGAGGGAAATTTTGCCCGGGCAGCGGCGCTACGGCCTACTCTTATATCGAATTCCAACTGCCATGGAATTTTTTATGTGCACGCCAATGTGTACACGGGACCTCGGTTTTTCGTCCCAGCTGTCCTTGTCAGGCCCTCCGTCCTGCATCACTGACAAGAGAAAACCACGCCGGAAAATCTGGATTAACTTTCTCGGCCAATGCAGGGATCGAACACCCGACCTCCAGGCTAGCGAGCCAGCGTCTTACCCACTTAGCCACGTGATCCCCAAATTAGTTTATAATTCACACTATCAATTACAGGTACTTAAAGGCTCAATACCACTCTTGTTGTAACTGAATAATATGTCTCAATCTTTATTCTGGTCAAAGAATTGTACTATTTTACAATATCCCAATTAATTCATCTTAACACACCTTATTTAAAAAATTGGAAAAATTCAACTAAATGATTTGAAAAGCCTGACGTAAAGCTTTCCAAATGTGACTTGGATTTATCTTATTTCGAGACTGCATAACAATCACTGTTAATGTGTTTATAAATATAACTGGATCCTAATTTAATCTATTAAACAGATTTATTGATGCATGACTTGCAATTTATATCATTTTAGTTTAATCTATTAAATGCCACCTGATTTTTTAAGGAGTCTTGCAGTGTTTTAAACTTTTGGTTTGCCTCAAGTATTTATATATAAAATTTTACACGTTTATGAAGAGGGGATCTTTGTGTAGGGCTATTGTCGGATAAATGAAATGAAATGAAATGGGGTTTAACGTCCTACTGTTCTGGGATTTTCCGGCGTGGTTTCCTCTTGTCAGTGATGCAGGATGGAGGGCCTGACAAGGACAGCTGTCTAGCGTTGTGGTAGGAAGAAAAACCGAGGTCCCGTGTACACATTGGCGTGCACGTAAAAGATCCTGTGGCAGTTGGAATTCGATATAAGAGTAGGCCGTAGCGCCGCTGCCCGGGCAAAATTTCCCTCATAGCACACTGTATGGCGTATGCCTGTCTTCATTAGCCCAGGTTAGGAGCAGAACAGACCAGAACAGTAGGACGTTAAACCCCATTTCATTTCATTCTTCATTTCATTTCAACTTTTAAACAATTTCTAGACATTATGTGTAGGATAAATTATGGGACTGAGGTTATGGTGGGGAAAGAAAGACTGAAGAAAATAACCCAAGGGTTTTTTTCTTCAGTCTTTCTTCCCCAGCATAACCGAAGTCGAGGACTTTATCTTGCTTATAAATCGTCTATAATTACATGTACGTAAAATGAGAATATCCTAGAATTCCCGTAAGAAAAACCTTATATCATGTTTTCTTATGGAAAAAAAAACCCTACCCTGGAAGAATAACCCGTTACATGTTTACAGAAAAACCTTCAGAAGAATAACCCCAAGTTCCTCTCGAAATATATTCTGAAGGCAAGTTATTCCAGGCATAGAATATACCCCAAAGATCAAAGAGATTTACCGTTATAGGTTTATAATGGATGAGATAATCTGATTAATATACAGATCTATGTTTCGTTTTGTTTTTTTATACTTTTGATGGCCTACACTACATGAAGATCCAACCAGTTGTAGTGGAAGGTCGCATCAGGTGTCATACGAGCAACATTTGACCCTATGACGTTAGACATTGATATATCAATCAGCGTTGATGTTTCTAGTGGATTACCCACAGTTCCGTGCACAGCACGCTTAGAACTTGCTGTAACAGACCGTTTGATTGGCTAATCGCTCACATCAACCAGAACACAGCTTATAACAGAGCAGTTAATTCCAATGGGAGAATAAGATAAAGAGTTGACAGTTAAAGAATAGATAACGTAAATAGAATATGTTGAACCGAGATATTAGCTTTTGAATTTTAGGCCTAGCCTCGATCATCATTACTAAAGTCAGTACGATAAAAAACAAAGTCTAGATTATCCATTTTTATGTTCAATTATTTAAAAAAAAATGAATTCAAATCCGCTAAATATCGCAGGCTAGCGATGGCATCAAGAGTTGATTATAGTCTGGATAAGTTAATTAATGTCTAATTAATAATTTAGATAACATTTAAGGCCTAAAGAAAGACCAGCAATAGGCAGAATAATAGCTCTTGCATAATGTATGTTTAAGTCTAATTTTAATTTATCTGTTTATTTTGGTATTGAGAAAGGGGACATCAGCCCTTGTCACCACTGACTTTTTCTAAGGACATAGAAACTTCACAAAACAAGTGCGAGATATCAAATCTGATAATTTTTATGAGAGAAGACAGATCATATCAATTTTCAGGCCTCTAGGCTACCTGTCATTATGAAAACCTTGTTAACGTGTAAGAGACTACAGTTTTTAACAGCTTTTGTTCAAATTTGGTACGAAATGAAATGAGATTTAACGTCCTACTGTTCTGCTCCGAACTGGGCTAATGAAGATGGGAATGCACCATACAGTGTGCTATGAGCGAAATTTTGCCCGGACAGTGGCACTACGGCCTACTCTTATATCAAATTCCAACTGTCAAGGGATCTTTTACGTGGACAACCAATGTGTACACAGGGGACCTCGGTTTTTTGTCCCATCCGATAAACTAGACAGCTGTCATTCTCAGGCCCTCTGTCCTGCAGCACTGACAAGGGAGAACCACGCTGGAAAATCTTGATGAACTGCGTCGGCCAATGCAGGGATCGAACACCCGACCTTCAGGCTAGGGAGCCAGCGTCTTAGCCACCGTGACCCCAAAATTTGGTACGAAGCAGTAGGACTGTGAGAAGATTATCCCTATCCTTGTTCATTTTCAGGACTCTATAATTTTCGGTTTCAGAAAAGCTTGTGAACATGATACAGATTATCATTTCAGATATGAACCAGTTGTGTGGGCATATTTCCATGTTTTGCATGGCTATCTTATTTTTACCCAAATCAAAGATTTCACACTGTGTTTTCTTGTGCTATTTTCTTGACAAAAGGAAAAAAAAATAATTCAGCAGATTATGATTTCTAATTTGATTCCCAAAATGTTTGTGTAATTGTATTAAATCTCCATTTGCAATGAAACTAATATCAGGTTGTTTACATTATGACAAAAATGGCTGCCAAAAAATTTTGATCCTGTATTCAATAAAAATGTTAATAATAAAAGATCTTTCTGTAAAAAAATGTTAAATGTTTATTTAATTGTTGATATAAAATAAGTTATCTATTTAGCGTCAAATTTTCTCACCTGTGATACTTGTTTTATGCAAAAAATGAAAGTACGTCTCTCATCTGTGATATTTTAAAGCAGAAAATGGCGACTCCCTTCAAATCTCACGGAAAATCACGTGACTTTAGACTATATTTAGACTATTAGGTGAATTAGTTGACCGGCCTGCTTATATTATCTTATGTCGAGACTGCATAACAATCACTGTTAATGTGTTTATAAATATAACTGGATCCTAATTTAATCTATTAAACAGATTTATTGAAGCGCGACTTGCAGTTTATATCATTTTAATTTAATCTATTAAATGCCACCTGATTTTTTAAGTAGTCTGTGCAGTTTTAAACTTTTGTCTTGCCTCAAGTATTTATATATAGAATATTAAACATGTTTATCACATGTTTATGAATTATAAAGTGAATCTTTGTGTAGGGCTATTGACAGATAAGTCGGGGAGGGTAATCTAATATAGTCCAAACAACCAATTTTGGCTGTCAATGCTATTTTCTTCTGCTTCATCTCAGAGGCTGAG